GCCTGTAATCCCAGCTACTCAGGAGGCTGAGGCAGGGGAATTACTTGAATATGGGAGGCAGAGGTTTCGGTGAGCCGAGATCATGCCATTGCACACCAGCCTGGGAGACAAGAGTGAAACTCCATCTCAAACAAAAAAAGAAAAAAGGAAGGAACACAAGCTTTGTCCGCACTTTCTTGTTGCCTGGAGTAAGGCAGTTCCAGCAGCCATGTGGGCCCAAGAGGTGACCTTGAAAATAGAAGGTGGATGAGAGAGTGGAGCTTGAGACTCTGTGTTGTGGCCACAGCATCTTGGACGACCTGCTTTCAGATGCATTTGACATGAATGGGAAATGCACTGCATTAGTTTATGAGGGCTGCCATGACAAAAAAAACCAGCCGGCTCCCCACATCCTCAAGTTCTGCAACCACAGATTCAACCAACCACAGGTCAAATATATTTGAAAAAACATTGTAATAGGCTGGGCGCGGTGGCTCAGGTTTGTAATCCCAGCACTTTGGAAGGTAGAGGCAGGTGGATGACCTGAGGTCAGGAGTTCGAGACCAGCCTGACCAACATAGTGAAACCCCATCTCTACTAAAAATAAAAAAATAGCAAGGCATGGTGGCGCATGCCTATAATCCCAACTACTCAGGAGGCTGAGACAGGAGAATTGCTTGAACCTGGGAGGCAGAGGTTGCGGTAAGCCAAGATCACACCACTGCACTTTAGCCTGGTGACAGAGCAAGGCTTTGTCACACACACACACAAAAAAATTAGCTGGGCATGGTAGCCCACACCTATAGTCTAAGCTACTCTGGAGGATGAGGTGGGAGGATCAACTGAGCCCAGGAGTTCAGGTCTGCAGTGAGCTATGACCATTCCACTGCATTCCAGCCTGGACAACCGAGAAGACCCAACCTGACTAAAAAAAAAAAACAATACAAAAAAAAAAAAAAAAAAAAAAAAAATACAGTAGAGCCACTCTTTACATAGCATTTGCATTGATTTAAGTATTCTAAGTAACCTAGAGAGGATTTAAAGTATACTGCATAGATTATTTTCAAATAATATACCATTTTATATGAAGACTTGAGCATCTGCCAGTTTTGATATGTGGGAATTCCTGAAACCAATCCTCGTGGACACTGAGGAACAACCACACCTCAGACTAGGAGGTTTACACAAGGAGACAATGATTTTCTCACAATTGTGGAGACTAGACGTCCAAGATCAAGGCGTCAGCAGGGTTGGTTTCTTCTGAGGCCTCTCTCCTTGGCTTGTAGATGGTCACTTTTTTTTTTTTTTTTTTTTTTTTGAGATGTAATCCGGCTCTGTCGCCCAGGCTAAAGTGCAACATGGTGCAATCTCGGCTCACTGCAACTTCCACGTCCCAGGTTCAAGCGATTATCCTGCCTCAGCCTCCCAAGTAGCTGGGATTACAGGCACACACCACCACGCCTGGCTAATTTTTGTATTTTTAGTAGAGACGGGGTTTCCCCATGTTGGTCAAACTGGTCTTGAACTCCTGACCTTGCGACCTGCCCACTTCAACCTCCCAAAGTGCTAGGATTAGGAGCATAAGCCACCATGCCCAGCCGATGGTCATCTTTTTTTAAACTTCAATTTCTAAAAATTTTTTTGGCTAAGTGCAGGGGATTTTATTGATGGTACACAACAAGGTGGGGCTCCCTAGGCCCCTCCCTCTTCAGGAGGTCTGCATGGAAACCGTGAGGAAGGGACATTCTCAGTGTGGTGGGGGACTGAAGTATGGCAGGGACTCCCCAGCAGTGAGGTTCTCTCTCTTCCCACAGTGCTCTTGCTGGGGCTGGTGGTCTGGGGGTCTTACTCCTTGGAGGCCAGGTGGGACATGAAGTTCACCACCCTGTGGCTGTACCAAATTCATTGCCTCACCAGGGAATTGGCTTGACAAAGTGGTCATTGAGGGCAATGCCAGCTCCAGCATCGAAGGTGGAAGGGTGCGTGTCGCTGCGGAAGTCGGCGGAGACAACCTGGTGCTCAGTGTAGCCCAGGAAGTGTGGGGGCTCTCCGATGCTGCTTCATCACCTTCTTTTTTTTTTTTTTGAGA